CATCAATATCTTCTTATCATGCTTCTTCAAAACCCAACCTTCACTTCCATAGCATGTCACAGGTAATAATATGGCCTGTACAGTTCTGAGCTTTGTATGTATAGACATATATCCATAGAATTTAAATATCTTTTCCAAGACCTTCAAGGTTGCTGTACAAAGTAATACTTTGTAGTGTATTTCTTGACGCTTGTTCTTTTTCTGTTGAAGGTTGATCATAAAAGGCAGAAGCTATCCACCACTTTGATATCTTCATTATCAGTTCTAAGACTGGTTTTTGTAACTGATTGGTCCACTAGTGGGAGAAAGTGGCAAGAAATAAACAGATTAGAAACACAAGTTAAGATAGGCAAGAAAATAGTAAGTGAGCACTTGTCCACCTTGGTGAGTTCAAATCACCAGGACCAGATGGACTACACCCCAAGGTTCTGAAGGAACTGGCAGATATGATCTCAGAAACATTGAACTATATATTTCAAAGATCCAGGAGCATTGGGGAACTACCAGAGGCCTGGAAAAGAGCTGATGTACTTCCCATCTTCCAAAAAGGAAAAAAAATGGATCCAGGAAACTACAGACCTATCAGCTTGACCTCAATACCTGGGAAGATCTTGGAAAAGATAACAAAACAACAAATCAGCGAACACCTAGAGGCAAACAAAGTCATTACCAAAAGCCAACATGGGTTTGTCAAAAACAGATCATGCCAGACAAATCTTATTGCATTCTTTGACCAGGTGACAAAATTAGTGGACCAGATAAATGCTGTGGGTATAATTTACTTGGACTTCAGTAAGGCATTTGATAAAGTAGACCACAAGCTATTACTTGATAAGATAGAAAAATGTGGGTTAGACAGCATCACCACCAGATGGATTCATAGCTGGCTGACCAGCCATATTTAGGTGTGGTCATCAATGGAACTGCATCTACATGAAGGGAAGTGTGTAGTGGGGTGCCCCAGGGCTATGGTTCTGGGCCCAGTGCTCTTCAACATCTTCATCAATGATTTGGATGAGGGGATAGATGGGGAACTCATCAAATTTGCAGATGACACTAAGCTGGCAGGAATAGCCAACACTCCAGAAGATAGGCTTAAGATACAGAAGGATCTTGACAGACTTGAACATTGGGTGGTTTCTAACAAAATGAAATTCAATGTTGAAAAATGTAAGTTTCTACATTTAGGCAAGAAAAATCAAATGCACAGGTATAGTATAGATCAGTGGTTCTCAACCTTTTTAATGCCGTGACCCCAACCGGTCGTAAGTCGAGGACTAAACCGGTCGTAAGTCGAGGACTAAACCGGTCGTAAGTCGAGGACTA